TTTCCCAATCTCTATTTTTTCTGAAAAAAATTCTCAGTAAATCGAATAAATTTATTCCCAGTTGATATGTGCCTTAAAGCTTTGTTGCAATTGCTCATTTGAAATGTTCAAAAAATGTTTTCAAAAAAATATGACAATTATAAATTTTAATTATAACAAAGACTAAAATGAAAAATATAATTATATTTTTATAGATAGGGAAAAAGGAAATTTAATCCTTTGAATTTTTTTTTAGAATGCTTTATTTTATTGAAAAAAAAAATATCAAAATCCATTCTAAAGGAATCACCAAAATATCCTTATATTTATTTGTGATTTTTTACCATCAATTAGATATTTTTCAGATCAATGAATTATGCTTTATTTTATTCAGCCCTCCAAAAATTTTTTTCCAAAGGAATCTGTTTAATGTCATATATAACTATTCAAAATTTTTTCTTTTCGTATAAATATACTTCATATATTTATAAATATTTTTTATAACATATGCATTTTTTTTTTATTAAGCATCTATTTGACCATCTGCATTTTTTTAAGATTTTGTAAAATTCTATGACCATTTGAATTGAATTTTTTGAGGATTGAATAAATATTTTAAACTAGTCTAAGTGTATATATTTTTATATTAAATTTTTTAAATAAAATATATTTTAACAAACAAAAAAGAATTTTTTAGATGTCAAAAAAATTAAACTAATTTTTATTGATTGAAAAAAATAATGGTTTTCAAATAAATTTTATTTGAAAATTTGACAAGAAGTATTATGTACAAAGAAATTTAACTATAATTACACAAAATTTTCAAGAAAAAAAATAGGAAACTGACCATATACAAAAGGAAAAATTTAAAAAACTTTAACCATTTATGACTTTTACACTTCACAGATAAGTACTTCCTATATTTTTTTATAATTACATTTTTGCAAGATTTTAACATTTTTCTAATGAAGAAGATTTTTTAAGCTAAAAAATTTTTGTAATTCCAATTTTCCAAATTTCAATAGCTGGGAAATTCATTTATAATATATCTGAATATTTTTCTTGATTGGCAAGATTTTATCAAAAAATAATTGTTTAATATTAATATTTAACAAAATATCAATTACTGTTTGAAATAAGATTTGAAAAAAGAAAAATGAGAAAATTAAAAAGAATTTTTTAATGTTTGATAAAAAAAAAAAAAAAAAAAAAATTAATTTTAATTTTTTTTTATTATTTCTTGGCTGAAAATCAAACACAACATTTTTTCCATCTTCTAAAGAAAAAATGAAAACAACTAATTTTGCAATATTTCAGATAAAATATATGCCAAATCTAAAAACGAAAATTTTTTTCTGATATGTGTTTATTCTAAATTTCAAACAATCTCTGTAAATTATTTTTTTCTAAATTTAAAAAAAACATTTTTTAAACATTTATCAACAGAATTCAAAGATAAGTTTCATTTCATGAATATATTTTTTTTTTATAAATATGGTAGTAATTTCACTGGGGCTTCACCAAGAAGATTTGATATTGCAGGTAAACAAATGATTATAGGTTTATGGTCTGTTAAAATCTATAAGCAAAAATGTAAACTTGTGGTAAATATATAAGCGTCATAAGATAATTTCAAAAACATTCTCCTTGACATGTATTTGCTGAGAAATGTGTGCCATCAGACAAATGGATTTTATTTCTACAAAATTTTCTTCATGAATCATGTTAAATAAATAGAATTCATATAAATAGTTAAATCTGCTATATTCAAAAAATTTGTAAAATATGGGAAAAAGGTATAAATCCATCTCTTTTCTTCTAACTATGGAAAATAATTATAAAAACTAAATATCAGTAAATCATTATTATGGAAAAAAATTTACAAAATCTAAATTTTTTTTCTGACTGTAAATAACAAGCAAAAGGTTGATAAACCATAAGTGCCATGTTTATTTATTTGAATCACTTGTTAAATAAATAAGATATTATTTTTTACTTTCACTGTATTGTTAAAAAAAAATTAGCAATGTTGACTTGGTATCTTGACTTTAGTTATTCTTTCTCACTATTGTACCACTTGGCCTTATGAAAATCTTTTTTTCTACAAATATTTTCATTGTAACTGCTTGATGAACTTTTTTCATTAACATAAATTTATTAAATGAATTTATTTGGTGCATGACTGTAAAATTTGCATCTAGGTCTCATCGAAAATTACTTAAAAATTAAACAACAATTCTATTCCAACAGTTCCTTCTTTTTTTTTTATATATATATATACCTTGGAAATTTTTTCCATTACTTGCTTCATGAAAAGAACAAAAAAAATTTTAAATACAATTTCAATCGCCATCTATCTGAAACAAATCCCTGTGTGCTAGTAGCATTCTGCCTTGCTTGGGGTGAAATGATTTAAAAAAACAAAAAATTTCAACTCATTTTAATTTATTCATTTACTTATTTAACCATTCCTTTAGTTTAACGTCTATGCATCCCACAATTCTACAAAATTCCACTGATTTAATAAGAATGGATTATATATTTATATTTATATATAGTTAATATATTTTTTTTACAATAAAAAATTTTTGAATGATGATGCCAATTGTTGGTAAAAAAATGTCAATATAGTAATTTTGCAAATTGTATTTTGCTTTTAAAATCATTTCACCCCAAAGCAAATCTAAATTCTCGCTGAGAAACAGGCATATCATGTTCAAACACCAGTTCTAATATGTTAAAAACAAATTTTAAGCTGCCTTCATCTAAAATAGTACCTAGATTGTTTTGCTGTATGCTTGAATGTGCAGGTGGTAAAACATTGATAACAACTCGGAACTGGAAATCAGAATATTTGAGTTCAGTAAGGTCTATTATATTCACTTATTTTAAAATGCACAGAAAGGTATAAATTAATTCCCCCATACAAATGAGTTATAAGCAGGACTTGTATCAGTAAATCATTATCATCTCAAAGCAATTCTTACAATCTAAAAATATTTTCTGGCTGTAAATAACCTGCAAAAGGTTGATAAACTGTAAAAAACAAATCAATCAAAAAGAAAAAAAACAAAGGTTTGAAAGAATATGAGGAAAAGAAAAGCAGTGAGAACAATAAAAGAACAGGAATTAAGAAGACAAAAGATAACAATTGACATTGCATTTAAATTTTTGAAGATCAAAGTTGGCTGGAAAGCAAGAAGGTGGAAGAGAGTCCCACAAGTGAAAGATTAGAGAGAAGAAATTGTTAGCATACAAACTAAGGTTACATCTAGCAATTTCAACATTAAATTGATGAGACTTAACTGCCAATCTAGTACTGTGCTTGAATTCATAAGGCCAAAAGTACTAAAGAGATCATCAAAATAATCACAATGAAAATATTTATGGAAAAGGCAAAGGGAAGCTACGTTATAGCAGTAGGAAAAAGACTAAAATCAAGATGCCAGGTAAGGACCAATAACATTGCACATTGCTTTTTGTGGAATTTTTCAAGAATCTGTATTTACATAGGATTACCAGACCAGATGTGGAAGCATACACCCAGATCCATATATGTGCATGTTACACACACACACACATATGTGCACACACATAATTGCATTTCATATAATGTGCTTCAATGAGATATCCCTAGACACACACAGTAGAACGAGAATATTCTAACCCATATAGATTAAATAAATAATTTAGTTCTGAATTCCTTGAAGGTTATGGGATGAACAAAAACAAATGAAAATAAAAGACAAGTATATATTAACACAATAAAATAAATTTTAATCATTTACTGTCCGAGAACAGGAAAAATTTGTTTTGGATTTAAACTATGAATTTCATGTGCATTTCAGCTTGAGACCATGTTTAATTCAAAAGTGGCACACTCCTCTTCAAAGACAAGGGAAGTAACTCAATTAGATTTTGAGTTATTGTCCTTTTAATAAAGGAAAAATAGCTTTCTGTTTAATAGTTACCCAGATCGATATATAGGATAAATTGTCAAAATTTTATATTTTTAATTTTGCACATGCACATTGTTTTTGATTTTGTTGACTGCACATTATAGTAGGGCCAGTTAGGCATGGTCTATGAGAAAAAGAGCACCATGACATAATTCACTCCTCCAGAAATTTGGAAACTGTATGCTCTACTGCTTGGGACTCACCCCAGAAGCTTCAATACAAACATTTCAGAGTGTGTAGGTGCCAATCTGAGGACAGTGCAGAAGATTTAGAAAGAGTTGGATGAGTCTAATTGTTATTATGAAGGTATTTGGAGTGATCACTAATGATGGTGAAAATATGCCACCATTCATCTTAACACTGGGTCTCGTGGAGGCCTACATCAAATGCCTTGAAGAGGTAATACTGCCCTGAGTCAAGAGGGTGGCTGCTTAAATACCTCATGTTTGGCTACACGACTCTGCACCATGACACACAACCAGGAGAACCCAGTCATAGCTGTCAGACAATTCCTGTGACCATATTATTTCTTCCATCTGGCCACCTAACTCTCCAGACTACAGCCCCTTGAATAATATGTACGGGGCACAATTGAGCGAAAGACCAACAAAACTCCTTGTAACATCAAAGATGAACTGAAGGCAAGGATTATGATAGCATTCACCAACTTAAACAAGGAGACTGTCCAGAATAGTTGCAGGAGATTCCAAAGTTGTCTGGAGGCCGTAGTTGAAAATAATGGTGACCTTACTGAATAAATTTACTCTTTAGTATTTCAAGATATTTTTATGTAATTTTGGTAAATATATCTGTTAAAATGAGATGTTAGTGTTATTTTCATTTTTGCATAATTTAGATGACAATTTATCTATTGCACCCTATATATATATATATATACAAAGTTCAGAATCAAAAAAACATTGTGATAACAAATATAAATGTAAATAGTGTAAATAATAATTTCAACTAATTTCTATAGATGATTTTACTATTTGCTGGACGTTTTCACATATTTAGTAATTAAATGCATTTTAAAGATAAATAGTTAACATGTAAATGGGTTTACGGCCATATCACATTGAAACACCTGTTATTGTCAGATCACCAAAGTTAAGCAACATTGAGCCTGATCAATACCTAGATGGGTGAGCACTCTGGAATACCAGGTGCTGTAAGGTTGAATGTGTGGGTAGTGTAATGGAATAAAAAATCAGGATATTGATTCTTGTTATAATCACATATTGCAATTATTTTTTGAAAAAGGTATGAATTTTTTTTTTCCTCCCAGCTATGGGTCAAATAGTAGGACCTGTATTGGAAAATCATTATTATCTCCAAATAATTCTTACAATCCCAAAATATGTTTCAGCTTAAAAGGTTGATAAGCCATAAAAAACAAATCAAATCAGAATGATAGTAAAATGAATTCCAATATATCTTTAAGTAAATCCTATGTCACAATATAGGTATCTTTTTAATGAATGAAAGTTTTGATATATTTAAAACTTTTAATGCATTTCTATCATTAAATAATTTCCTCTAATTATTGCTCAGTACAAACTGTTATTAAACATAGATGCTTGTTTCTGCTTGGGATACTTGCAAATTTTTCACTATGTTGTCTCCAGTTATTGTAACAAGGACTTGAGACAAAGAAGTCACCTAGACTTTGACAGGTTCCTGGATAATCAGGTAATCCTAATTAGTTTATCTGTATGGGAAGAGGGATGGCATGGAGGGAGAGATTAAGTGTCACATCTTAAGATTTCTTTCTGATAGAATGAATATAAATGCAAAAATGGGCCTTTTTACCCACAAAAAAAAAAATAACCAAACAACAGTTTTTCCATTGAGTCAAACTGCTTTTTTATTTTATTTTTTTTCATTTTGGCAACTATATATTTTATAATAATATATATATATATATATATATATATATATTTATAAATTAATTGATTTAAAACAAAAAATTTATATTTAAAAAAAACCATATTTTAAATCAATTAATTTTAATATTAATGCTCTGTAAATTTACATTGCCATTATTTTGTAAAAAAAAAAATATCTATAAGAACACCGGATTATATATTGACTGTTCTTTCTTTTTTGCATATTTATATACATACATACATACATACATATATATATATATAAATTACAAAACTCATAACTTTATGATAAGATATTAAACAAAAAAAAGAAAAATACATTTTTTCATTCTATTATTTGCATGTTTAAAAACAAGTAATTTTATGGAATTTTTCAAATTCACAAATCAAGTGAAATAAAAGCAGTTATCCAAAAAAAAAAAATCTGAATATATTTTCATCCCAAAATGTGACCTTAATTCAGACTCATAGTATAGGACCAACCTGTCCAATAAGTAAACTCAAAAATTTAATAGGCACAATACTTTACAACCATTTACTTAAAGATTAAAAATTTTGTATTTTAGAATGTGAAATTCACTTCCTTAACCTCATAACACAAAAAGTAGATCCTGGAACACTTATGTCAACTTTTCACATCAGTAACCTATATAGCCCTATATACCCCATGAATAAGGTAAACAGGCAGTCTCATTCTGGATTGAAAAACATCCACAAACACTACACCCCAGATTCACTAAGGAATTCATTATCAATAGTATGGACTTAATTCTAAACAATAACATCTTTGAATTTGGCAAAAAAAAAACTATATCCAAGCCCTAGGTACCACAGTGGGAACGGAAATGACACCAACATATGCCACTCTAATGTTAGCTTACCAAGAGGAAAACCTGTATGAACAGATAGAACAAATATATGGGGAAAATAAAAAAAAAACACTTCACTAAATCTTGGAAATGATACTTAGATGATTGCTTCATTTTCTGGAAATCCTCATGGGGTGATATTAACCAATTCCACACTACTTTAAAAACTTACACCCAAAAATCAAAATTCACCCAAGAATATAATTTTAACAAACTACCATTTTTAGATATACTCATTAGAAATAAAAACAACCACATAATTACAGATATCTACCACAAACCTACAGACACTCTACAATAACTTCATTTCAAGAGCCATCATAAGATTAAAAAATTTGTCTGAAATCCATAAAATTACTCCTAGCACGTAGGGTTTGCACTATTGTAACTGACAAACCCCTTCGAAAAAGCCACTTAGAAGAACTACATAGACCCCTAAAAAAACAAAGCTAATAAACTAATAAACAAAGGTTTTGAATTTGCAGAAAAAATACCTCTAAACCAACTACAAAATCAAAAGAAACATAATGTTGAATAAACTCTAGCATATGTCTCAATATACAACAAGAACAATCCAGAACTATTTACAGAAATTACAAGAAATCTAGACCTACTTAAAATGAATGACAAAATGAAAAATATATTAAAAACAACCAAGATAATTAAAAGCAAACAACAATCTAAAAACCTGAAACACATATTAACCTCATCCAAATTTAACGAACACACAATACAGGGGTCACAAAATGCAACAAAAACAAGATGTGGAGTTTATGACATCATTATAGAAGAAAACTCCTATACTTTTGAAAACCCCACAATGACATTCACAATTAGTAAAAATTTAAATTGCAACTCAAAAATATGATTTATGCACAAAATGCAAGAAGTCATATATAGGCATCAACCAGGCACTTAACAACAGAGTTGCCCTTCATAAAAGCAACATCGAATTACCAGACAACAGAAAATTCTTTGTATCACAAGACATCTACAAACAAAAGGAAATTTAGAATTTTGTGGTTAATATACCAAACAGACAATTATTCTTACATAGAAATACAAAAAAAAAAACTTCAAAAACAAAAATAGAAAATAAGCACTAAACAGAAAATAATCCCACAGGCAAAACACAGCAATAACACAAATAAGAGAATAACCAAATAAACAATTTGGGATAACACAAATATGAAAATTATCTATAGAGAAAGAATATGTGTACAATATATTGGCAAAAATTTTCAACTGCTCACAGGCATTTTAAGATACACTAATAGGAACAGTGTATATATATATATATATATATATATATAATCAACCATTTGAATTATATTAGGAGTTTTATATATCATATATAATATGGTGCCCCATATGTTTGTCTCAAATTCTTGATGAGATCTAGAACAGATATGTAAGTCCAAAATCAATTGATTGAACACATCTTTTCTGCAAATTTATAACTTTTACAGATGTTTTAAACTAAATCCCTCTGTCTTTTTATAAATAACTTTCTCTGAGGAACTACTTTTAAAATTCCCAGACTTGATGATGTATAGCTTTCTACTAGGATGATTTATATACTAAACCTATTAAACTGTAAAAAGTATTAAATGTAGCCATTTCTTCTACTCCAATAGCTTCATGTCTCACATATAACAATGGAACTATTTAATTTACCTGTTAGAAATGATAGCTATAGATGGACAACTATTCAAATGTAATGTCAATCAATGTCTCCAGATATAAATCTATTTTTTATCTTTATCTTCCTCCTCTCCTCTATACTCCTATTTGCTCTTGCTCAACCAAATAACCCCTTTGCTAGTGGCTTCAAATTTTTTGGGGTGAAATGAGAAAAAAAAAAAAAAAATACCTGAAAACTTTTTAAAATTTCATCCATTTGGGAATATATGATACATTTGGATATATATATATATATATATATATATATATATATAGTGTATGTGCATGTATTTTTTCTTTGATTGCCTATAATAAAGACTGTATGTATGGCCTCAAGGAATATACCTTTAATGAAAATATAAAAAAACATAATAAATAAAATTAAAAATAAAATCAAAAAAACAAATAAAAAAAAAGATAAGAAAAAAACAGTATTCCTCATGTCTTTATCAGACCAATATAAGATTTTATTTAATAAACAGTTTAAAACAATGGGTACGACATCAAAAATATTAGCAAAATTAATTCCTTGTAAAAATAATTATTTCCAAAAAAATATATTCAAGGCTCCAGGTTAGTATACAGAATCTAAATATAATAGGAGGACTTTATAGTTATATTTATTTCATATAATCATATATTACAAAAATATATATAATATATATATTGGTTATATATATATATAATTTAACTTATATACATATAATATATATATTTAATATATATATATTATATAAATATAAAACAATTTGGTGAATATAAATATTATATATATTAACAACAAATATATAAAACCATATATATATGTATTTTATTATATATATATATATACATAAATATACTTACTTATATATATTTATATATTCAATTAAATATTTATCTGTTGTTCATTATTTTATTTTTATAGAAATACGTAGGGGCTCATCAACACAATGTAGCGATTTTTAAGAAAGAAAAATTCCAATTATATGGTCCAAATCAAAATTTTACCTTGATAAACCTTATGTCATTCTCATTAAATATAAAAAGATAAAAATTTAAAAACGGATGTAACGATTAATCTGTTTTCGATATGTTTAATTTATATTATAATATACATATGATATTGATTATAATTATGTTTATTTATTACCATTATAGAAACCCCTGATGAAATTTGCCTAAACGAACAGAATGAATTTTATTTAGCATATGAGATAATTGTACAAAGAATTATCTATTTTTTCAAAACCAGTTATTCGAAAATATATTTCATATATTTACTATATAAACATACGAAAATAAAATAGAAAGAACCGTATTAATTTTGTTCCTACGAGACATGTAATTTTTTTTAAGGGTTTCAAAGGTATAAAATTTTGAACGACTTCATATACGATGAATTTTAATAACCCAAATATATAAAATTAATATCAATGCCTATATATATTAGGATAGAATCAAATACATTATCAAGTCCCTCATAGTGGGAAAAAAATAAAGTTCAGATTAAACCTATATTTATTAAATACATAAAAAAGTAGTTTAATTTCGTCACAATTTATATATATATTCTAGGACCTTGACTAGTATGTTTTTTTAAAAAACTGGATGGCAAAACATGAAAGATGTCACAGGCCTCTTACTGCTTTATCGTTTTCAATGCGGGAAGTGCTCCAGATGGGATCATTCTTGCGTCGTTCCAAGTGCACTAATCTTCAGATTAACTGTCTGCTACATACATTGTAAAACAAC